TGTTTGACTTGATGGTCTTCAATTGATGTTTGAATGAACGTATAGATACATTTTCTGTAATAGTTTCCAAGGTTGCATCTCCAAACAGACAACGATAATGATCGTTAAAGTTCATGTGGTTTTTCACTACATGTCCACGGATTCCTTTTGCCCTGATCTTCTCTTTCCCATTGATCTTATATGAATAAGACTTTGCACGGAGAGCACAAAAATGTGTCATTACCTCTGAGTTGGTTTCATCGGAAAAGAGTCCTGGTATCTTCTTTCGTTCGGCAATGTAGCAAGGGTGATCTGGTGGCAAGTCTGATGTATCCATTCGATCAAGTAAATTGGAATTATTCTTAAGGTCTTTATAAAAATCTTCGGTCTGGACATAGTATACCAGTGAATCTGGAAAACAGTATAATTTAATATATGAAAATTAGTATAGTTTGAAAACATTTACCTGTATCAGTATACATGAGCTCAATTTTATCTCCATAATGGGCTTGCATAACGTTGTAGTGATAATCATACATGACGGTCTTAGAAATTTCCAACACTGCAAAACCTGTTGAAAAAAAATATATTAAAATTCAGCTACTATAAGAAGTATATTATATTTACCTATATAAATAGGCTTGCAAAAATCAATGATTTTATTTTCCAACGAAATGGCATTGAGAGTTTCATCGTATGTAGTACAGTGTTTAAACGTACACTTATTTATAAGCTTTTGCAAACGTTTTTCACTACAAACCAGCTCCATTTGAATTCTCTTCCTAACGAATTCCATCGTCTTCCCAAAAACAGCATTGTTTAAAAGTTTAAAAAAGTCCTTCTCAAACGCGTTCCTCGCCCTCTTTCTCATCTCAGTGTTTAATTCTATATATTTCTTAAGCCAGTCTGACTGATTAAACTGAATAACTCTGTGAACCTACAATAAAACAAAATATGTTATAAATGAAATAAATGAGATAAAATATGTTACTTTTTCCACTACTAGTCCGTTTTTAATGGCCTGCTGCAGGTTGCGATAATGGATTACATATTTTTTTTTTGAATGGAGTGTCGCCATAAGTTTCTTAACTTTTGAACCAGGTGGGATATCATTTTTTGGTAGGAATGGTAAGTCATTGTGCTTGTCATGAAGTTCTTTAGGATATGATATATCAACCTCATATATCCGTCCTATTGGTGATGTATCGTTCAAATCATTTAACCCATCTAGTTTGGGTTCAACCCACTTAAAACCTCCGTATGGCATGTAATGTGACATTGCGAACCCGTACAAGTTGTTACCTGCAAGTTAAATAATATATTATATTAAAGAAAATTAAATATTAAATTGATCTTACAATCCTGATAAACAAGCCATGATTTCGGTTGTGCTGGATCATAATCTGGTGTCTTTTCATTATTAGCCTTTGCATATCTCATGCTCGCCTGAGTCAAGCCACCACGAATTCCTATAATAAAATCAAGTATTATTTCACATAATATAACTTTCACATAATATAACTTTACCTTTTTCAATCATTAACAACATATCATAATCTGTCAACAATTCTAGCTTCATTGAAGTGTATTTCAACATACAGTCAAATGAGAATCCAGGTGCCGTATAGTAAAATGATGGGTCCAGATGGTATGTGCTTAAACAGAGGTCTCGGAAATTTTCAAACACATCAGCCAACAGTAGTACATCAATTTTTAAATAAAGATCGGAGTATTCCCCTAGTGTTTTACAGTTGAAATGATTCCAAACCGTCTTCGCATGATCATAATGTTTATCTTTTATATGTGATTCGTACAGTGAACTGTAAAAATCTTCTTTCTGAGGCAAAACTGTTTCTTCCAACTTGTCCCAACTATCTGTATACTCATAAGGGTAGACTCCCTTACGGGTAACAAGTGCTAAATCTTGAGATGAAAAATATTTTTCTGTCTCTCTAAACTTTTCAAATCCGGGTGTAATTAAATTTTTTGAAAGTTTTGATAAGCTTGCGGGCATAAATCTTAATGTGTCTATAAATCTTATTGTGAAAGTGTTGCTAATATATTTTGAAAACGTTATAAACTTTTCCTCACTGTTTGGTATCACCGAAATTGAATGTGCGTCATAACCAAGACGAGTGACAATAAAATGTGAATCATAATTCGTTAAATTATGAAAAAATACCGGTACAAAGCTAGGTGTTTGGAGTTTAAGATTACACGTATTACATAGTGACTGTCTAAATTTTCCTGATAAATGGCAGTGATCTGCCACTTTATGATTTTCTAGGGAAAACTTGACCTTACATAAATTACAATTATTACATAATGCATGTGTTCTCCGTTGTTCGTCTGTGAAAATTATAGGAATGTTTGTTTTGAGTAACTCTTCAATTTTTTTGGCTATTTCCACAATTTTATCCACAAAATGTCCAGCTACGTCCTTATTATTTTCATTTCCACGGTAAATTACAGGTGATGTTGGAATTTCAAATTTTTCAAGCAGTTCTACTGGTATGTCTTCATTTGCTTTAACCACAAGTCCATAGCTCATGGGCTCGTGTTGTTGAAAAGCTGCTGTTTTTTCTCCAATTTTCTCATCAGTTTTCTTGAGAATTGCTTCGAAATCTGCATAAATTACTATAGGATGACGTTGCGTTTTATTCCATGCAGTAAACTCGAGCATTGTACCAGGTTCAGGCATCTGAGCTAGTATAGGTTTATGTTCTCCACACATTAATTTATGTTGCTCTAGCCCGGCCTCACCGTTTAATTTATATTTGTACTGTTGTTGGTCGAATGATGTGAAGCACCGTTTGCAAAATATTGATTGTCCATTATGTCTAGTTTTTTGTGACCTGATGAGTCGTGAAAAATTAGATATGTAGCTATAATGACTGTTATCCTCGTCTGATGTTATAAGTAGATCAAAATGGTCTGGTTTTTCTTCATCTACTACTTTAAGAGGAAAAACTTTATATTCTGTGAATTTTGGTGGTTGAAATTTCTTGTCGATACCGTAAACATTGACAGACACGTTTGGATTATTTTTTTCAAAAATTTTAACTTTATGTAGTGGTGTTGGGAATGTTAATCCAGAAAAATTATATTTATCCTCGAGCGATGTATAATTATCACCAACACGGTATTTATTTTCTCCTGTAACATGTTTTGCTAGAATTGCCCACTTGAAGCATTGCATATCTAAGTTTTGAGGGTTGATCACAGCTTTTTTTTTTCTATTTGGTCTGGTAGTGGCATGTATGATGATCCGCCCAAAGGTTTATATTTATATACGCCTAACATTAAACCGTCAATACATTGTAATGTGAAACCACTACCCTTGCTTGCATACTCGTCTTGCTCTTTCATTAATTTAGTAAATGCCTCTTCAACAATTTCCTGTACTCCAGTATCACAGAAAATCGCCTTAGCCGAAGTTTTAAAAGCACGGTTTTCCGACCAATATTCAACATTTGGTATATTATATGTTGCTTCAAGCTTTAAATTAAACTTGATTGGATTTTTACTTGCAATTGATTTTAGTAAATTAACTAGTTCAGATTTGATCGAATCGAGGAAGTAAATATAGTTTTGAATATTATTGGTGTTTTTTACGTAATACCAGGTGATAGTATTGTTTGCTGATGTAGATATTGACTGAAATCCGGGGGACTTTACGAGATTCAAAAGTAATTTTTTTGCCCTAACTGCTGATCTAGTGTTGGCACTGGAAACGCGTTTTCCATTATCAAGCGTAATGTATGAATCTTTTAAAAAAAAAACCTAATTAGTCTATGCCGCGTTTATAAAAATTAAATTACTAACCTTCCTTTTCACAGTATCCAAGATCCTCGATAATATCTGCGACTTGAGCGTAAACTTCATCATCATCCTTGTCTTTGTAAAATGTGTCCGTTATATTATCTCGTACTGTTGGCACGTGGGTATTTTGTTGAGTGTGTAGCCGTTCTCTTACAGCTGATAAGAACTCGGAAAAAAAAAGAAAAAATTTATCGGATCATGTTTACCAATACTAAAACATAAATTCCCTGTACCATTATGTACCATAAAGACATTACCAACATTATCATAAATTCTATTTTATGTATTATGTATTTGTATCAGTATTGAATACTAATTATAAATAATATGTTAAAGTTTCGATCATATAAAAATATTACAAAGTACTAACTACTAAGCAGTAAGTAACAATAATGCAATAATTGCAATATTGTATAATTTTTCTATAAAGATATTATTTAATGCAAGACATAATATTATTTAAATGTTATAACTGTTAAATAGTGTCATAATTGGTATGAAATGCCACAAAACATTCATCATTCATGCAATGTTCAGTAATTATTGTTGTATTGGAATAATCTTGTTTATGCGTTTAATAATACTCTATAGTTTATTTATAAGTTCAAAAATAAACCCAAGTCCCAAATAATTATAATAATATCTCATTAGTTATTAGCACGATTAAAGATAACTTTAATCGTGGTCGTTAGTCATTATTATAGATATAAGCATTGGATTTCTGTTTCGCCATTTTTTTGTAATTTGGCGGTTGAATTTTAATTTTAATTAATTAATCCTAATTACTCATTAGACTAATCAACAGGTGTTAGAGAAAAGTACATTAATACCATAGATAATAAAGATGATACAATTGATACATTAATACATTAATAAAAAAGTACATTTACTACAGGCTGGCCCTAAAACTGATATTAAATTATTATTTTGAACATTGACATTTTTATCGGTTGGTAATGTTGGTATGAGAGGAAATAAATACACTGATATAATCAAGCCATTGTTCCCATCTTCGGGTAGTGGGTTGTCTATGAAATTACAAAATAAAAGTCTAGTGTACTGGAATAACCCTAATGAGTTAGTCGAACGTTTACGACTACTTTTAGCTTCTCAAGCTGCTGGTAATACAGGTCTTTCCAACGAAATACTTTCAATTTACGAAGAATTGTATGAAGCGGGTTTGATAAAACGAATTCCAAATGTCTAAACGTGATATCGCTTTCGAACTACACAAACCAGCCAGAAAAAAAATTCATGAACCATCGGTACCTCAAAATACACCGCCACAAAATACACCGCCGCAGTACAATGAAATATCGTCGCCAGATTTATTTCCAGAACTTGAATCATCGTCATCTATAGATTCACCGAATATGTTAATTCCTCGTGCGCCTATAAGATTACACACGACGCAGCCATCAGTCGAAATGGATTGGAGTGATGATGGAAATAACGAGCAACTCTATAGACTTATAGACAAGTATGAGGGGTGGGGTAGTGATTATGACGAAATGAATGAGTTGATTTTAAAAAAAAACATAATAAATAATATTTTTATTAACATACATACCTGAATTATTATTTCGTATATAACGTGTACAAATATTTTTATTAACATACATACCTGAATTATTATTTCGTATATAACGTGTACAAATATTTTAAATAAAAACTGAGCACAATAATAACGGGTGCGTGATAACATATATATACACGTTCGTGATAAGAAATAATTTTCATTGGATGATAACACAAATGTTAACGGGTGCTTGATAACACGTTCGTGATAAGAAATAATTTTCATTAAATGATAACATCTTAGAAATAATATGTACATTTATACAAGTTAAATAGGGCTAGTTATTACCAATTAAGTATATATGGCGCGGTGGCATGGTGGTCGCTTACCAAACCACAGGCTCGGGTTCGAAACCCGGTCGGACGAAAAAACTTTTTAAACTTATTTTCCCCGGGCGGCGGCGGCTGGTGGGGGTAGTCGACCGGTGGTGGGATCTGCCGTCGGCGGCGGGATCTGCTGCCGTGTGTCAGGGATCTGCTCGAGAGCATAGGAATCTGCCAGCAGGATCTGGTTCTAGAACTCTCTTTTTTACTCTACTGTTACATGCAAATCTTTGTATATCCCATGCAATACCTTAGGTCACTGACATTCTTAGAACCTTTATTTCTGATTGTTGTGTTGTAATAGTATGAACTATATGCATTGGTAACTAATAGCAATTTACACATAATATTAATATAAAAAAGTTGGAAAGGAAAAGAAATTCATGATGTAAAAAATCTTTATTGATTATCTGAAAAAAACAAAACAAATAAAAGTAGCAATTTTTTTGTTGAGAAAAGATGTTCCTGTTAAAAACTTACTGCTGTCTGCTATCAGCGCCTGAAAAAAATAGGTTTCATTAGAATCATCAATATCAAAAACTTAAGTATCTATATAATATACTTACATCGTTGCACGGCGGCGGCATACGAGAGATCTGATATTTTCTGGAAATAATGTAAAAATTATAAAATAGATTTATCAATATCAAACGTTTAAATATATCAATATACACTTACGACATTAGCTCGCAGAGCTAAAATTATTCGTTTAATTAGACTTATCAATTTCGAAAACTTGAATAATTTTTTAAATTTTTTACTTATATATCTTTAAATATTATACTAATATATTATACTTACAACGTTGGAGGGCCCCGACGGTGGCACCGCTCGGGCGGTTCTCTGCCGACGTACCTCCTGAAAATTATTCATTTAATTAGACTTATCAATTTCGAAAACTTGAATATTTTTTTAAATATTTTACTAATATATCTTTAAATATTATACTAATATATACTTACAGCGTTGGAAGGTCGAGCCGCGGCCGCTCGGCTCTGCGACTGTCGCCGACGAACCTCCTGAAAATTATTCGTTTAGTTAGATTTATATAGAAATGTAATTAGATTTATTTTTAAATATAAATATATATCCTTACGTTTGACGATGGTCGTGATGTTGGGGAGCGGGATCTGGAGAGGGGCCTAGCACGGAAAGCCCTGCCACCTCCCCTACCACTGCCACCTCCCCGACGCCTTACGCCATCACGACCACTGACGACGTCGACACCACCTCCTCGCCGCCTGCCACAACTACGACCACTGCCGTCGCCGCCGCCACCACCTAACCGCCGATTACCACCGTCACCATCGCGCCCACCACCTACACCTCTGGACTTGGCTACAATATAATTTACAATTTATATCCATAATATTAAGACTGTTATTAAGGAATATGTAAAGTAAACACTCACCGCAATCCCGGGAGAGGTGTCCCCGTTTGCCACAGTTGTAACATTCTGAAACGGGTAGATATAATTGTATTCGTTTCTAATTGTATGTATTGTAAATATAGATTAATCAAATTTATGCTTACGTCGGGTGCGGTCTTCTGTCTTCCCGATATATAGCCGGAAATTCCCGCTAATATTGTAAATGTTGCTCATACTTAAAAACAAATAAAGAAAGTTGAAAAAAACAATTGATTGGTCTGCATTATTATGTTGGTGATATTATAAAATATTAAATTCGTTAAACAAAAAGCATGTGGTGCATACTCAAACAAAGCCACGGTTTTCTTCGCAAATGTAAATGGTATAACAATATCATTTGATTAATGCAATCGGAGGTGAACGTGTTAAAAACAAAAAAAAAATAGAAAAAATATTTAATTTGTTTCACAGAAACCATGTGTTGCAGACAAAACTAAGGCTCGATTTTCTTCGCAAATTTATATATTATTACAATAATATATTATTAATTCATAAATACGATCCGCGTTGGACGCGTTACAAAACAATCCAATGTATCTTATTATACTCATTCTAAAAATATAAAGAAAGTGTATACTAAAACTTTTATATTATTATAAATAATGTACCTCACATGTACCTACGCTTGGCAATTGCCGCTAATGTTTTATACGTTGTTACTCATTCTGAAGTTGACAAATTAAAAGCAATAAAGAAAGTGTATAGTAAAACGAAACTTTAAGTGATCTGTCGGTATTATTATAATATGTTGGTGATATTATAAAATATTAAATTCGTTAAACAAAAAGCATGTGTTACATTATATTAATTGATAAATTACCTACGATCTGCGGTGTAAAAAAGGTTTTTAAAAAGCCACCAATCAAATTAATAATACAATGTATACTCACGTATTTCTGGTTCAGACGGTTTGAATGAAATGATTTTAAAGTCGGAAGTCCGCGCAGTCCTTGGTCTTAGAACGGCGACAATAACAAGAGTCAAGGCAGGTAACCCATGCGGGAAACGATATCGCACGGCCGATTAATTTATTTATTGTATTGACAAATTAATTATCTTATAGTTTTATATTATTCATTCGAACACGGCATTACACCTTACACTTTTGGCCATCGTTCTTATTTCATTTTTGCAAATTTTTTTCATATGGTCATAATAATGAATTAGGACCATCACTCGATATTATAGATACACACGCAAAAATGGTTTTCAAACATTCCCGCCTTCGACAGAATACCGCCAAACCTGTAGGCCTTATCACCGACCGTTTATCGTCTATTCACTCGGCGGTATCAGCGGATAACTTCCCGCCTATTATGTGATACGAGAGACATTGGGACTGACATCATGTCGGTGCGCGGAAACGTTTCCGTGTTTTTCGGAGGACCATTGGGAAACGAAATCCCAATCAGCTGACCGAGTTTCGCTTCTAAATCGCTCTACTACTATAAACGAAAAAAAACTATTAAACGTGGCCGCCCGACTTGCTAGACACTCAACAAATCACGGGGAATATATTACGACTAGCACGGGCGCCCGAAATGTTATTATTTATATATATTTGATTTACGTCATTTGGCGTTTTCATGCCTTGACCCGGACGTCGCACTATCCGACGAAGTCAGATTGCCTACCAGGGTTACTACGTCCAACGTCGAGGAAAATGACTGAACCGCTAGACACCAAGACATATACCATTTATTTTGCACGTGACCTATTACTTAATTTTGCGTCAGAAGTCACCCGTTGTCCGCTATCCGACGCTAGACCCTAGATCCCCTGCTAGACCCCAAAACATATTTTCGAGTAATTACGTCGAGGAAGGGAACTCGGTAGTCGGATTGCTTACGAAATGTTTTGAATTTTCATTACTTCATTGATTTGGTGTCTGTAATGGACGCTGTCCCGGCCGCACATTGCCTACCCGGATAACGTAGATGGGTGACCTGCTAGACACCAACAAATCAGACGGTGGCTATATGATTTGCACGGAAGCCCGGAATATTTTGAATTTTCTTCGCGTAATTTATTCTTTAATTTTGCGTTTTCGGCAACAGTAATGAACGTCGTCCGCTATTCGACGCAGTCGGATTGCATACGTGATGACGTGCCCCGACCGTCGAATATTGTCTTAAAGGGTGACTACGACCAAAGTCGAGGAACGTGACTGACCCGCTAGACCCCAAATACTATTACTACGGCGAACGTCACTCTAGGTGACCGAACTGCTAGACACCCACAAATATTACTATATTATTTTTTTTTATCAAATTTCGAATTTCCGGCGGCGGCGTCGTCGAAAAGACTCTGCCCTGGCTACCAAAGGCTACCACGTCGAACCGCAGTGGTCCTAGCCTTATCACACATCCTTATCGGCATAACACCTCTTCGCCGATATACCGTGTCGGCCCGAGACCGCGAGTCCGCACCACGTGGAGGCCACCTCGGCTTCCGAAATCGACAACACTCGGGGTCCGGTCACGGGGGTCTGTGGGTGTCCCCCAGCGACGCTCGGAGAGCTAGTCTCTATCTATAAAGCATGAATACGTGTGGCGCCGCCTATGCGTTAAATTAGAACTACTTAGTGGACAAAGGAACGGATAGCGGGAAACGCTATAGACGAGAATGGAGGGAAATCGCGTTATCACTCCTCCTTATCGCTTTTTAAAGTCCAGCCCAGAGGTCTCTGCCGGCGCGCACCACTTCCAGGTTGGTAAGTGCGGCCCCCGACCGGGCCAGCGCCCCGCAGCCAGAAGACCCCCTACGGTCCCCACGGTTTTTCGGCCGTAACTCCCCAACGGTTGCTCCTAGAGTTCCGGGAAAAAAATTTTGCATCCCCGACACCACCCTAGCGGCTCTAGAGGGCGCCGACCAGCCCCCCCAAACCCGGACCCCATATTCCCCCCAGGGGAGGAGTTCGGGTCCCCCGATAGGGACAGTAAAATCCGCAACGCCACACCGATAGGGACAGTAAAGTAACGAATGACGGGAAATCGCGGCGGCGTTATCACTCCTCGCGGTTTTTACCGTTTTTCACGATTTTTTTTCAAAATGTTCGAGTTTTACCCCCCTCGGGGGCCCCGGAAGGTCCCGTTCGGACCTTATTCGCGTTACTCGGTAAATTTATAGTCGGCGCGCGGCCCTACTTTTGGCCCGGCGGGCCCGCGGGGGCGGATGTCGAGTGCCAACGGAGCGCCGCCTTCGCGCGCGATTTTTGCCGTTTTTTTTCGAAAATTCGAGTTT